CATCCTTAGTCTTTAACATAATACTGTCATTCTAAATATTTTCAGGGGTTTTTTACAGAGATTTGAGGTTAAATCCTCTCTTCATTGAACTGATGGGAAACCTTATTCACGTCCTCAATGTTTTTTCATTTCTAGTCTGAAGGGAAATCTTCCCAATCACCTGTATTAAAGAGGAGACTTGATATTGTGACTGTGCTGAGTAAGAGGGGCTAACTTGTAAGTGGAGTAGTTCAAATGTGATTGTAGATAGAAGGGGGAGGATGGGGGGTTTATACTGCCTTGCCAGCACGTTTTAAATTGTCACTGTTTAGTGCTCGCTGAGGGTGTTGCTGTGGTTGCCAACACTTAACACTTTTCACAGGTAAGGGAAACAATCTTACCTGAGAATGGAGCTCGCCAAAAATTAATGCCAACTTCCTGTATAATGTCTGAATGTAAGAGCTTAGGTGGACATAAATATATATATATGAAATTCTTCTTTTATCAATGCCATTTAACTTCTCTTCTGATTGTGTACTTGTATTCAGAAGACGATATCAAAGTGTTGGGGTTTATTTAAAGAAAAACCATCATGTTTGTTCCTAAATATAGGAGGCGAAATACATTTTTCCTTGCCTGCACTCGTCTTTTTTACTGTGAGTTAATAAATGGCTGGTAAATTCCTCCTGGCTGGAAGTGTCTTTAAGGGGAGGGGGGTTTTAACTTGTATTTCATTTTCATTTGGCAATCCACAGAGGTTGAAATACTCTGTGCAGAGCAGTTATTTATTTCTCTGCTAAATTGCAGCACAATATTCTGTATAGATTTTAGTTCTCAAATCCATCAAGAGCTATGTGCTTGCAGAACAAGACAATGTGAACAGGCAGAAAGCATTGCCATCAAACCCCTTTGACAGTCATAATCAGTATTTCCAGCAGTAATGAAGATCCCCGACACTGGGAAGAGTAAGAACTGAGTGGAGATTCTAGTCCCTGTGTTACGTAGCTTATTCTGATGTCTCTGAGGAGTCCAGCTTTGCATTTGAATTTCATTTTGTCAAGTCTTCTTTAATTCACATGAGGAGACAAAAAACTGCTCTGGCAGTCTGCTCTGAACTTTCTTTGTTCCTGTTGACTAATGAGCTTTATTAAAAGACTTCATTTCTCATATTTGCCCGCATTTTTTATAGTGCATCTGTGTATTAATGACAAACAGGGAAACTGACAAATGACAAACAGGGAAACAGGCTTATGCATGCACATCATCCTGGTTTCAGGATATATGTATGTATATATGTAAGGATTTACATAAATCCAGTGTATTTAAATAAAAAATGAGCTCCTCTTTCTTCATTCTGTGAAGAGGGTGAAAGAGCTCTGAGACAGGTCTTTTTTGCAGTCCCATCCCCCTGTCAAAGTTCATTTTAGGATTAAAGTGGAGGATGAGAAATAAAATAGCTTTAAGTTGCTTTGACTAGGGACACTACATTGTGCACACACAGGCTGAGAGGAGAGTTTGACTGAGGCTCCAGCTATTCAGCAAGTCAGAAGTGATAGGACTGAGATTCTCTCTACCCTGTTATTATCACTTCTGTGTATGTGCACTGTGCCAAGCTTTTCAAGAGCTGTGGGGTTTGGTTTTTTCAGTATGTTTTTGGTGGTGTTCTTCTTTAGGCTTACTCAATGTTCTTATCCTTTGGGGTTGAAATAATGTTGTTCATTATGCAAAGGATTCCTAACAGCAGTTGACGCAAGGCTGCAAATGGAGCTGTAGAAATCAAGCAGGGAGCAGTTATGGTGAGTTTCATCTGCACTCATTCAGTCGTCTGCAAGTGAGAAGTGTGAGCGAGGTGATGGGAAGAAACAGATCAGATGAATCATCCTGTGCAGGTGTCTGTTTTCTCTGACTGCAGAATGCTTTAGGAAAAGGAAAGCTGTCCTCGAGATGGTGCTTTTTGGCATGTAGTCAGCTCACATGAATCCCACCTGCACTGACTACTTGTGAAGAAGTTTGATTTAAAGAGTTCCCAGTGATTTCATTTCAAAGAGTTAAGTCAGATGAGGGGTGGAAGGAAGTTCCCCAGGGCATTGCGTGCTCTCCTTGCTGTTGGATTATCCCTATTCTTTTTCCTGCTTCTTGGTTACTTCCACGCTTTCAGCCTCCATGGTATGAGGCAGTGCTTCTACACGCAGTGATCTATTACACTACACAAATGTGATTCCTCCTTAGAAACAAGGGTACTTCCTACACGGATCCTCTTGGGGAGGGGGAGGAATGGTACACCAGAACATAAATCAGGTCTGTCATAAAGTAGCTCTCTAAAACCAGCTATTTTAGGCTACTTAATCTTAATTCTGCTTTATCTGAGTTTTGTGATGTTCTCTCACTTACACACAGATGCATACAGAAATCTCCGTAGCAGAACACATCTTTGAAAGAAGCAGACTTACACAGAACAAGGTTGTCGTTAGTGTCTAGTGTCTGCTCACTTTGTTGAATTTGGATCAGTCAGAGCCTGCAGAATTCCCTGTTGCTGGGACTATCAGATAGCAGCTGAGGTGCTGACAGCATATTGTGAGCTGGAACAAAGTAGTTCCTCAGCAAATTTCACACTGTCAAAAGAACACAGGGGCCAGATCTCTCGGCTTTATTCTAGGTTTTAAAAAGGAGTATCCTTAGTGAATACATGTTTCTCATATAGCTTGAGTTGTCCTGCCCTTTTTTCCTTTAGTATGTCTTCTAATTCATTGTTTGGGTTGGAATGCAAAATAAAATTGGAATTCTGTAAGTGCTTGGAAGCAGCTTGACGTCTTAAATCCTTACAGTATTTTACTGTGAGGAGTGATGCTTTGAAGGTATTCACTGAACTCTAAGGGACCCGGGGTCTCCTGTGTTTGATGGAAAGAAGCTCCTGCTGTGGGTCATGCAGTGAAATAAAATGCCTGATTCAGGAGGTTAGTGGAGATGCTTCTTGACTATCTAGGTTTTAAACCTTAGGAACTGTGCTTTATTTATTGCTAAGGTTACTCCTCCTGCAAGAATCTAGTAATAATTCTGTCAAGTTTTCCACCAGCCAGTTTGAATCTAGACAGCATCAAACTGCATCGTCCTTTTCTGTATTGCAGATATTTACATGAAGCTTCTGACATTTGAATTTTCGTATAGCTGTGATTTGAAAAGGATAGCAAGAAGTTCTCTGGATTTTGTATGTGCAGTTTCCCTGCCTCTTGGATGGATGCTAATTCCAGTGTTTGTTTCTCCTTTGGAAGTCAGATGCTCTTCTGTTCTGCTCAGCATAAGTAGCAGACTGAGGATTCATGATAACTAACTACAAGTCAGGGCTTGGGTTCCCTCCCCTTTCCCCTGACAGAATTAATCCTTTTTCTATTGCATGTTTTGTTGATTTGTTTTTTTTTTCCCTCCGCCTTTGCCTAATTATTTTTGCGGGTTAGTTACCTTTTGCTCAGGACTTTGGTCTTTCACCAGACCTTTATTTTTTGTGGGTGTTTTCAAGATCTCATATATAATATAGGGAGTAAGGAAACTCGATACAGCAAGTAACAAGGCTGATTTCTTGTGGCGTTCTCCTGTCCTTTGTGCTTTTTTAAGTTGGCAGCAGTTGTAGAAAGAGTGGCACCGTGTGTTAAGGTGAAGAATGTCACTTTTCTTGATTTAGTTGCTATTTCATCTGCAGTACTCTCATCCTTTACAATGGTTTTCTTTTATCACCCATCAAACGTTAAGATTTTCTGTATGCTTGCTTTGCCATGCTTTTTTATTTTCCATGCATGCATATTGCAGCTCACTGTTTATACCTGAATGTGCTTCGAGAGAAGTTGCAGTGTCTTTAACCAGTTTCTTTTACTGATGAAGTTGGGCTTAGATTTTGTTCGGTAATTTAAGAGATTAAATACCTAAAGGGGGGGTCTACAAGAAAGCTGGAGAGGGGCTTTGGACAAGGGCCTGTAGGGACAGGACAAGGGGAATGGCTTCAACCTGCCAGAGGGGAGATTGAGATGAGCTCTGAGGCAGAAGCTCTTCCCTGTGAGGGTGCTGAGGCGCTGGCACAGGGTGCCCAGAGAAGCTGTGGCTGCCCCATCCCTGGCAGTGTTCAAGGGCAGGTTGGACACAGGGGCTTGGAGCAACTGAGTCTAGTGGAAGGTGTCTCTGTCCCTGGAACTGGATGAGCTTTAAGGTCCCTTCAACCCAAACCAGTCTGGGATTCTAAATGCACATCTGGAAAAAAGAGTTTGTGAAAGTGGCTGGAAACCCAGTGGGGTCTCCATAGAAGAAGAAGACGAAGGATAGTACTGTGAAGATGCTGATGATGAGGATCTCTGGTGGACATGTAGTGTAGTGGCAGGAACAGAAAGGTTTTCTCAATTTCTAGGAAAAAGGTAAATGACAAATAAAGGAAAGGTGAAGTTGAAAAGCAGGATTTCTTGGGGAAAGGAAAGGGAGGTGCTTCAAGCCAATGTGTAGAACACATTGCAGTGAAGGACATAAAAATACTTTAAAGCAGTATTTTGCTATTAGCATAGTTACTGAGATTATTCAGCACCATTAGGGTAAAATAGAGGCTTGTGTGTGTTGAAGTGTTACCCAGTCATGAGCACCTGGGGGGCTGAGAAGCCAAATTTGATTTCAGGCTATGTGTGCCCCGCGATGGCCCCTGCTGAGGCTGCGGGTGCAGCAGTGTGCTGCTGGCTGCGTGCCTACAGAAGGTGTTCAGCTGCTGGGTGATGTTTTCTGCTCGAGGATCCGTTTCACACTTCTCTTGAGGAAGAGCTCCTAGGCTGGACAGAAACACTGTACAAGCCAAATCTGCTCAGGGCCTGTCAGACCAAGCGTGAGTTGGTCTGTGGGTGCTTTGGAGGAAGAGATAAAGCTTGCTAGTAGGGAATAAAACTTTAATACCAGTGCTAAAACAAAAGGTGCTGGGCTGAATCACAGACACTTGCTTGTTCGATAGCAGTAATGTGTTGTCTCTGCCTCCCCTCTGCTTTTGTTTCTGTGTTTAGGTTGAATTTTCCTATCCTCCCCTAAAGCCTGCAGAAGGACATGACAGCCACAGTTTGCCAGAGGAATGGAAGTACTTGCCATTTCTCGCCTTACCAGACGGGGCTCACAACTATCAGGAAGGTAAGAAGCAAGAGAAGGAAGTTGTATGTACTACTACTACTGCAATCAAAAGAAACATCCTGATGTCTGAACAGTTAATCAGTGATTCTTTTAGACTTCCTGGGTTTGGTTTCTTTTTTGTTTAAGCTGCCAAATGCATTGGCAAAGATATGTTGCTTCAGACTTTAAAATGAAAGTAGATCATAAACGTGTACCTCCTACGTCAAGAAATCAGATACTGATAAAAGCCTACACTTGTGTGTAGTTCTAGAGCAACTCAAGGCTACCAGCCTTCTCAGTTCTTTGAAGGGGGAATAAACTCTTGAATAAAACCTAATCAAGTTTGAGGGAAGGGAGGAATGAAATTCTAACATTCTGCCTTGTAATGTGTGTAATTGTTATTTTCTCTGCTAAATCAGGGCTTCTTAGAATGACCTACAAGTCATTCAGTTTCTGTAGAATGATGTATTTTGAAAACCAGCACATGTAAAGGGCAGGAACAGAAGCATTAGTGTATTTGTCAGCAGAATGATTCCTTTGGCACGTATTTACCAGCAAGTTCACTGCACTTACTTTGTTTCTGTTGTTTAGTATTGCGTTTATTTATTTGACAGCAGTTTGGTTCATCACCATGACGTTTATCTGCATGTTCAGTTGTTTCACCTGGGTGTTTGTTCCTGCAGAGCAGTGAACAAGGAAGGCACTTCAACAGCAAAATCACAGAAATGCTTTAATACTACTTTTAATAAGATTTTTGGGGTTTTTCTTAACTCTATGTACTTAGCTTCCTAATTCTCCAGCTTCCAGAGATCTCATTTGGAAGCAAAAAGGAAATCATATCAAAATAATCCCCTGCCTGCCAGCAAGAAGACTCTAGTGTGGGTCATGGCTTTTGTTCCATTTCTGTGTTGTTAAATACATAAGGAGAAATAGGTTATGTTCAAAGCTGGGAAAGTCACATTCAGCTGCACCTACATGTTCTCTCTTGGCTCAGTACCATCCCTCAACTTTAAGCATTTTTATTGCTGTACTAAAAGATTATCAGTGTGTGTTTTTGAGTAAATAAAACAAGACTTGGCAACCAAACTGATACATATTCTTGCGTTTTGTAAGCAAGAATACACATGAACTTGAAACAGGCAGGTATGTTTCAGATAATAGTTACGTTACGTTTACTGTAGCTTTATTAGATATCTATCTTTTGAGTTTTAAACTAATTCCCACTGATATAATTGCATTTTTACAAAGGAGATGATGGTTCAGGAAATAGCCTTCAAGGCTTTCTAAAACCCTAGGTGGTTTTCGTAATGTCATTAAACTTGTTCGAGGGAGTAAAGTTCTTTGTTATAAACAGTCACTCTTTCTGTTGGACTTAAAGCATGTGGGAGTGTCTCTTCATTTTGTTACTAGGAAGCAAACAAAAAACTAGGAGTTGGTTTCAAAACAAATTCCACACATGTTTTTGGAAGGCAAACAGCTGTAATGTCTTCTAGTTACGATTTAGCAACTTTTGCAGTAGTAGCAAGTGTGTGTGTATACACATTGGTGTGTAGGTCTCAAGCCATAAGAACCTTTCTCTTGTCATGTTTTATAGATACTTCTTTTCTTTCATGTTACACTTGCACAGAGACAGTCATTATTTTGCATGAGACAAGGATTCACAAATCCTTTCTGTAAGCATAGTGGTGCATGGGTATCTACCTTGGCAGTGGTAGCAGCTACGTTAATGTTTCAACTGTCCTCCTTGGGGGGCTATTTTCTCCCTGTCTTCGTGGCATTTACCTTCTTAATGGCATCACACTCCAATTTTATGCCTTGCCTCACAGTGCTTTGTCTTTGCTCCTCCATACTGAATTGGGAAAGCAGCATGCCCGTAGGTTTCAGTGGTGCTTTGCTGCTGTCAGTAGCTGCTCCTGAGAACCTGTGAGTGGGCTTGTAGGAGCTTGGTTAAGCTAAACATCAGGCTGTTGCCAGAATATCCATATTGGCACAGCTAGAGAGTCTTCCACAAAGCATCCTGCAATCTGGAAACTAATTTGGGTGTAGGCAAAGCTTTATAGAGGACTTGTTAAAGTCTCAAAAGTAAGTGTGCCAGTATTTTCACCAGTAAATGTTTTATAAATAAGTGGTGCTGAAAATTACAGTCTTGGGCTCTTGTTAGTAACATCTGAAACAAATCTTTTCTTCTTCACAGATACCGTGTTTTTCCATTTGCCACCGAGGTGTGGGGATCGAACCACGGTCTATGGTGTCTCTTGCTACAGGCAGATTGAAGCAAAGGTAACTCCCCAAGTTGGGAATTATATTCCTGAAATAGTAGGCTTGATGCATTAATAACCCTAAGAATCAGTGGCTTCCATTACACCAACAAACTGCGTGATCAGCTTGCATTAAAAACCTATGAAAATGTACAAGCATAGTAGATAGCTCCAGAACTTGGGAACTACTCCTTTCCTTTACATCAGCAGGCTTATTGTGATATTTAGGAATGATCAAGGCAATGGACAAATGTTTTGGCTATTGTGCGCTAATCCAAGCATCAGCACCAAAAAACAAATACCTATCAGCAAATAGCTGATAGTCTGTCAGGCAGCCACCTATGAAAGTGTACAAGCATCGTAGATAGCTCCAGAACTTGGGAACTATTCCTTTCCTTTACATCAGCAGGCTTACTGTGATCTTTAGGAATGATCAAGGCAATGGACAAATATGTTTTGGCTATTGTGAGCTAATCCAAGCATCAGCACCAAAAAACAAATACCTATCAGCAAATAGCTGATAGTCTGTCAGGCAGCCAAGTCGTGTTTCCAAGGAGTAGGCATTTAGGGTGGAAAAAGTTGGAATTTCTCCATTGTGTGACCATGAGGAATTTTGGAGTGTTTCCTGGGATCTGACAATGCAAGTGCAGGGATGTTTCTCTTCACCTACCTCCTTTACCAAAAGGAGGCCAGAATCTTCCCATTCATTGTAGCTGCTTACCAATACTGAGCAAATAAAAAGCAGTAAAGGTGAAAAATAGCTGAGAGGTGGTGTGCACCTGAGCACACTGAGGAAATGGTGTCCTTGGGCTACTGAAATCTGCCCACATTTTCAGTAGTAACAGTAGTATGAGCTGTGCACTTACAATTGACAAGTTGGAAACTAAATGATCTTTAAAATCCCTTCCAACCCAAACCATTGTAGGATTCCATTGCTAAGTTATTACCAATTTCTTTTAAAATTCCTCCCTTTTCCAGTGAAATGCTAAATACCTGGACTGCCATGTGGGTTTAAGTGAGTCTTGTATTCAGAAGATGTGAATTTTGTACTCTGTTCTAGTGTTAATCACACCTTGATTATAGTTCAAGTTCCTGTTTATGCTATAGGAGAAATTTTACACATGGAGATTTTAGTTTCATTTCTTCTGAACTAAATCCCTGTTGACTTCAGTTCTCTCACTATCTTTGGAGCCAGTCTACACTGTATCTCTGATTTAGAGCCTTCCTCTGTGTAACTCTAAAATAACTTTCTAGGTCTGCTGTTAAATGCTGGGACCATTTGGTCTGGCTGAGAATGTGGTTGGTTCTGCAGATGACACCTCCTTTATTTGATGGTTGGCTCAAAGAAATCCTCAAGTATAAAGCAAACAATTTCTAGGCAAAGACTTTTCAATCTGGTCCATTTTCACAGATACTGTTAGAGAAGAGCAGGCGACGTGTTGTGGCTCCTCTTCTGTTACATTACCTTGAGTTAAAATGCCATTGCCTTTTCCAGGGCTATTGCCTTTTTCTCATGCTAGTGTCTTTTAAACAGTCCTCTGCCTATCACCACAGCTGTATTTGGATCTTTGCTGTGCACAGTGAGATGAGAACACAACTCTGACATGTCAGTGTTATGACCATTTTTACTAGGTAAGGGCAAACTGTTGCATGGTTTGGATATTCTACCATTTAAGGCAGTCAGTTTTAGGTTCTGTTCAAAATAGGGGGGGGCATGTGGCAGCTAGAGCTGTATTCACAGTTGTGTCTGGTAAAACCACTGTAATACTTCTATTTTTCAGGCATTAAAAGTACGGCAAGCAGATGTCACCCGAGAAACTGTACAGAAGAGTGTCTGTGTTCTCAGTCAGCTGGTAAGAATGTTTGTTTAACTCCCCAAACACTTTCAGATAACACACTAAAAATTATTTGTTTTCCATATTCTGATGTGGAACTTTTGCCTCCAGACACCTCTCTTTAAATCATTGCAGACTGGATTTACTGAAGTAAAATTGAGTCAGAAAGCTCTGGCATTTAAGTGAGCTGCCTGGAACTGGTATCTCCATTTAAGAGTAATTGTAGAAGTGTCTGCCTGTTGTCAGGGATCAGGATATTTATTTGTGGTTTTGATTCTTCTTTTGTGCTACTAACTTTGTTTCATGTAGTAGGATTGTGGGGTTTGGCCATTATAATACCTGGAGACAGTGGCTATTGACATTGATGCTCTGACAGTTGACATTGAAAGAGGTTTTGAGATAGCCACACATACAGCATACTCTCGTTTTGAAGAAACATCTTGTGTTTCTACCTATTCAGCAAAAGCTACTGGTCACCAGGCAGGGAAAAGGGATTCTTTCTGTGCTTAAAGCTGAAAGGTTTAAGCACAGGAGAAGGATGCTGCGTGTTAGTAATTGCCCCTCCATGAACTAGGTGTGTAATAATGCGTCTATATTGCACCATAAGAATGGGAGAAGATTCAACCTCAAAAGGAGTGACTAAGGAAGTCTTCTTCATGTGCTTTTGTGTTTGTTTTTCTTCCAAGCCTTTGTATGGATTACTTCAGGCCAAGCTGCAGCTCATTACACACGCGTACTTCGAAGAAAAAGACTTCTCACAGATTTCAATTCTTAAGGTAACTTTTAAGGAACAGCCACACAATTAACTTTCAGTGCCCAGAACAAAGCTTTCAGTGTAAGGCTACAGGCTTTAGTGTTTGCAGTTATTGCTCAAATATTCCATCTGCGTAGGTCATTCATTTATTCAGCTCTTCTAACAATTTAACATGAACTACCTTAATCTGACAGAGAGTCACCTTTCTGACTTGTAATGAAATACAGGAACAAGCATGATTATCAGCCTGTATCTCCATTGACCCCGTTAGTAAAATTTGACTTTCTTTCTGGAATAAGATGTTGAAATCCTTGAACAAGTGAATTTTCTTCATTCTGGACTTTTTGTGACCATGTGCCATTAACAGCTTCTGGGGTTTGTTTTGCTTTTGTTCTAACTTTTACAGGAACTTTATGATCACATGAATAGTTCCCTGGGCAATACTTCTCTAGAAGGGTCACAGGTTTATCTTGGTAAGTGATTTTTTTTTGTGCAAGCAGCAGAGATGTTAAACTAATCAGCACATTCCCTTCCTGAGCTAATTTGTTTATGTGCATTTAATAGATTAAGCACCAGAGGTCTGTGTGCCTGCACAGTATTCTGTTACGTGTTTCTTTCTTAATGGATTTCAATAAATGTCAAATAAACTGAGTGTTGCTTTCAAAACAGGCGTTAGTTGTAGGTTGAAAGCCATGTTACCTCTTGACCTAACAGTCTGACAAGCCACTGCTTGGCTGCTTTTAGGAAATAGTACCTTCTTAATTTCTAGATTGAGCTATTTGATGGTGTGGGGTGCTCAAGCTTTCATCATCCGTTACTTGGGATAGATCCCATCTGATTCTGACTCTTCCCTGTGTTTTCTGAATGCACAGTGCAGTACTTACTTCAGTCTTTCCATAATGCTGCATGGTAGCCAAGAGGAGTCAACTCAAGAGTATGACAATTCATGTTATTATTGTCTCAATTGTAGATATAACTCTTGCTCCTGCTCAAAAGAAAGAAGTTTATATGAGTTCTGCTATTGAAATAACCAGGTTAACCATAATAACCATAATAACCATACTGGGTGTCCCGCTCCCCCTGAAAGATGGTGACAAGAAGTAAGTTAGTATCTCTACTAGCTATTAAGCTGTAGTAATTGCTCTCTTTTTGGAATCTCAGGTCTGTCACCTCGAGATCTTGTTCTCCACTTCAGACACAAGGTAGGTGTTCTCTGCTGTGTATAAAGTATGTGTTGTATAAAGTACAGCCCTTTGCAGAGTAAAATGCTTTGAGAGGAACTGAAAAATAAGCATGTGTAGACATACCTCAGGTAGGAGCAAAAGGACTGTTTCCTAAGTGCTTCTGGTTACAATCTCCTCATTTCCTATCCCCTTCCACCTGCGTAACTTCAGTGACTGTAAGACCTAGACTGAGCAGTTCTGCCTGTGTGCTGCATTCCCTGGCCAGTTCTAGGTTTGTGTGACATCTCTTTAGACCTGTTCCAAACTGCAGGTGGGATCTCAGTTATGGTCTTGTTTCTATTTCCTGCTTCTCATCAGATGAATGTGATGGAAGAACATTGCTAAACTCTGTGCAGACACAACTTGGAGCATTTTTCCCTCTATCTTGTAATTTCTGCAGCTTCTGCCATTGTAGAACTTTGGGGACTTGCACCTCTTCTGTTTCCCAATGACTGTTGAAATGCAGTGTGTATCCTATAGCTAAGGTACAAATAGCATTTAGAATCTTTTATTAACTGCGAGACATCAAGGAAGCAAATTAAAGAATCTGGATCTCATGGTGTGTTTGTGCCTGCTCAGTAGATTTTTGGGATAGAACTCGTTTTTGTTGAACATCAGATGTCTGCCGGTCATACCCCAGAATTGTCTGTGTTTTAATTTGAGCACAGAGAGTCTGTACGGCCACTCTGATGTAAATATCTCCTCTGTAGATGCCTAAAATTAGGTGAGATGAATGGCATTCTTGGTATTTTGCTGAATCTTTTCTATATTTCTATGGAGGAACTCTTTTATGTTTATGTAGTTTACTGGGGTTTTTAAATTCTTGGATTACACAACATGTTCTTTCCAATAAGCTTCGTATGATTCAAATCATGGAATTCCTTGTGCAGGGTTTTTGCTGTGTATCTCAAATGCTGCTTTAAAATGAGTGCTCAGGTGGAAAAATGATACTGGAACACAGGTTTTCACTGGTCAAACGTATTTTGCTCATTTGACAATCATGCAATGATTAACATGAAACCTTGGGTAAAAGATTATGCTTGCTCAGTAATTTTGATAAATGGCGGTGGTTCACTCACCACATTTTTCCTTTTTGTGTTTGTTTTCTCCAGGTGTTGATCCTTTTTAAACTGATTCTTCTAGAGAAAAAGGTAACGTTTTGTAGGCTGAGGTAATTGAAACAGAAAATGCAGTTATAAAATGTTCACACTCTACCTTATTAATAGCTGTCCCAGCCAGAGTAAGTAAAATGTGATTAAAATTGTGAGAGGAGAAACTTAACTTATTATAAAAGATAAGAAAGGATACGCAGAATGCAAATAGGAAAAGCAGGTACCCAAAAGGCTGCGTAAAACTTGACAGGTTTTCAGTAAGTGGAATTTCTGGTTCAGGCTTTAAATAGGCATACCAGAGAAAACAAGTGCTAGAAGTGTCCTTCAGACCTCAATTGCCTGGACACCTGCGGGAGACAGGGTGCAGAGCCGTAACTGTTGGGTCAGGCTGAACTCACATTATGAATTGGTAAAAAGTGTTGAATTCTAGGCTCAGTGTTCTCTTTGCTGCCTGACAAGTAATACTGTCTTAGTCATTTAAGTGCAATATGCAAAATGTACAAGCAGATGTGAAATAGTAGAAACATTTATTTTCTTCTGTGCGTGTATATATATCTATATATATCTCTATATATATATATCTCTATCTAAATACCCTGGAACAAGAACTTTGAGTGAAATGATTGTGTATCAGGTCTCAAACAGATACATGCAGGGATTTGCTTCTTGTTTGTTTTGCTTTTTAAACTCGTTGTTAAACCCCAGCTTCTTCAGAGTACTGAGAAGGACCATTAGAATTTCCTGTTAGCTGCAATTGGAAAGTCAGTAGGACTTAATCTATAAAGGGAGTGTTCAAGGCCAGGTTCGACACAGGGGCTTGGAGCAACCCGCTCTTGCTCTAGCAGAAGGTGTCCCTGCCCATGGCAGGGAGTTGGAACTGGATGATCTTAAGGTCCTTTCCAACCCAAACCATTCTGTGATTCTGTGATTCATTCTAAGTATAAAGAGCTGTGGTTTTTTAAAGCCTATTGAAGGCCTAGGTATCTTTTGTGGGGCAGTAAATATGGCTTTTAAAACAGAAGTAACAGCTTCTCCATAGCTTTTGCACTTGTCACTTGTACATTAGATATACCTTGACAGTTCTAAGTATTTATTGATGAGAATAAATGCAGTTTCTGCGTTTAAGAGCTGTATGCTAAAGACTGCTATATATGAAAGCCTATGCAAAAGGTATACTTGAGAAATTATGATTAGGACATGGTAGGATATATGGATATATGTATGTAATCAAGACTCAATAGGCAAGCTTTTTCCCCAGAAGAACCCAAGTCTACAGTGGTTTTTTTAACCATAAGTGGAAAGAATATTTCCCAGTAGGATTTTGAAATGTATCTCCACTGATCTGCTTAAAATCTTCTAATAGCATTTCACCAAGTCAGTTCAGTATTTGGACATGAACAAACAAAATGCTTTCTTGAGCCTCAGTTCTTCTCTGAAGCTGCTCAAACCACAAGACATAAATGCACAGGAAGAGAGAGGGTTTCCCAAGCATGTTCATGTGACTCAAACATGTGAAAATAACTGGATACTTATTGAAGAAACCTGCAGATTGCTTTGGTTTTGGTTTTCCCTAAGCTCCAGCAGGAAGACAACACTTGCACTTTCAAAAAGCAGAGTTTTGTTTTTCTGGCACTGCCTATTTTCTGGCACATGTTAAGGTTCCAGAGTAACTGAAGGAATCTGTATGTTCAAAGACGCCAAACATGAAAGCCAAGAAACCACTAATAATGCCAGTTTTCCTTGAGCTGAAAAGTGCCTGAATGCCACAGACCGATTCGCTTTAATCCTTAGCAATTCGGTTGATGCCTTTCCACAGGCTAAAGAGATGTTTTTCCACCTCTTGGCTGTTAGGAGGCTGGAAGACTACTTCCAGATGGTGATCACTGGATTTTCTGCTGCCAGGACCGCCCAGGTTGCTGATGTAAACATTGTAGGGCATATAATGGGGTTGGGAGAGCTCAGGAGGTGTATGCACATATAGACAGAGAGATGGCAGAGGGGCTTGATGGAGCCAATACAGAAAAGTACTCAGCTTAAGTAAGCAGTATACCCAATGAAAACTTAAGAGTGGAATAGATTTCTTGTAAGCAAGATGGTATTTATAGACTTAATTATTTCTGTAGGCTTAAAAATAAGCTTGGCTAGGAACACATGGTGTCTGGGTATCTAAACCTGTAGAGGCAGCTCAGGGTTTCTGTTGTAGTTCATTGCTCTTGGGTCCTGCATCTTTCCTACGTGCATTATAAAGCAGCATCCTAAAAGAAGTTTGACTTTTTTGGAGTCAGTAGGAATCCTTTCCTCAGATGAGCTGCTTGTTCTCATCATGCTTTCTCTGTGCCTGTAGCAATTTGAATTTGCCTGTCCTGAACATAGAAAATTTGTGCAAGGTAATATACACAGTCTGTTTCTAGCTGAGGTACCATTAAACATCGCTTGGTATGTGTTAGGACTCCATAGGTTTTTCTCTTGGTTCCATCAATTCACTAGCTTGTAGACTTGCAAATACTAGTGGAACATGAGTTATTTATCAGTCGCTTCTAAAGCATCTTCCTAGCTGACAGCAGAAGTCCTTTATTAAAGTCTTAAGTCTGCAAACTTGCACTTCTAATTTCATCATATACCTATTAAACTGGCCTGCAGAGTCATCAAGTTAGGTCATTCTGCATTCCTTTGGTTGATTCTTTGTAATGCTCGCCTGTCTTGGAGGAACTCCAGTAGTAATACTCAGTCTGCCTTGTGGTTCTTCTTTCATTGCTAGCCTTTGACACCCCCCTTTTGAATTCCTAACTAATTTACTAATCACAGTCTCTCTGATTTAATTAAGGAGATTCTCTATTCCCATGTTATGCCTTAAGTGCTTTGCCAGAGCTAAATATGAGTCATGTCTTCTGTTTCCACAAAATCTTGTGTTTAATCATAGGAAGACACTCTTAATAAATGCATGCTGCATTTCTCCTGGTTTTCATTTATCTGCATAGCCTTAATATATTTCCTTAAAGAGATGGTTTTGCATAGGTTTTGGTCAGAATTCTGGAATGGAGATTATTTGGCCTCTTTGATTTATAACAGAGATTATAATGTATTACACATGGATAAGAATTCTTATGGTGTGCCAGGAACAACTTTTCTCTGTCAGCTATTCAGTAAGTGCCTCAATCTGGGGGAAAAAAGCCTGAACAACTGACAGTAAAATCTGAATGATTGACAAGTATATATTACACTTGGGTGTATATATGCAACATATATATTACAAACAAAATATGAGGGTATAACAGACACTTAAATATTTGAACTGCTGTAAGAACTTTTGTTGGTAGCAGACTTCCTAAAATAACATAAAAAGCAATGCCTTGAATAGTTTTCATGTGTTCTATGTATCTTTGTCATGCTTAAGTGTAGTTTTATTGTTCTCATTCTCTCCTCCCTAATTCTCCTCTCCTCTCCCCACCCCTCTCCCTTCTGCCACCAGGTGCTATTTTATATTTCTCCAGTAAATAGGTTGGTGGGAGCACTGATGACTGTCCTAAAAAAGTAAGAAGAGAAGTTTGGACTTCTTTTTCTGTGCTTTCTGGTTATAACTGGGACTGGCAGTTTCATATGGAAAACAACATAGGTGACAATAGAGTTATCTTGGTATGTTGCCTGAAAAATAGGTGACTTTTATGTATGTACACATACCCTAATCCTTACTACTTACACTCTGTGGGTTATTTCTTGTTCTTTATTAGAGCCACTGGATCTTCTGTATTGCCAGTGGGTAACATAGATGGGACCCTGAAGAAGTCACACATTCCTGTTGAGTTCAGACAAACAACAAACAAAACCAAACCCCCTAACCTTGCTAATTCTTAACTTCTAACCAGGCACCTCAAAGCAAAAAAGTTTGGGAAGTTTCTTTAGGAGAGAAAGTGTGGGGTTTGGTTTTGGTTTAATTTAGTGTGTGTAACACAGCTTCCCCCCAAAAGTGGTGTTTTAAAAAACGTGATTTCCACTAAGCACACCAGAGCACTTTATTCATTTTCTTTACTAAAAGTCAGTTAGGTTTCTATTGAGATGCTGATATTCATGTGTGCTATCACTTTCCAGGGATGATTGAACATGGTCTTACTGACTGCTCACACTATAGACCAAGAAAGAGCATATCAGAGGATGCTGGCTTGCAGGAAAATACACCACATTTAGATGACTCTGTTTCTGCTGCTGATACTTCAGATACAACCTTAGGAATGGGCAAGGGAGGCAAGAAGGTGACAGGAAACCATTCAGTGGAAGGTCAGAAAGCAAGCGTGCCTTTCTGCCCATCAGAGAAGACTTGCAATGGAGCTCAGTCCTCCAACAGTGCTGTGCAGCGCTTGAAAGTTCCATCCCGCGCTTCTCCAGCATCCTCTGAAAGTGACTGGGAGACCTTGGATCCGAGCATTTTGGAAGAGTCTAACCTGAAAGAAGGAGAACGTGACAATACAGCATCAGAACAGGCCGAAAATCTTCCGAGCTCAGAAAGCCTTCCAATCACTGTGCAGCCCCAGGCAAATACAGGACACGCGGTGCTTGTTCCAGGGCTGATCTCTGGGTTGGAAGAGGACCAGTATGGTATGCCCTTGGCTATTTTTACAAAGGTAAACATGTTGTTTATGGTACCTGGTAACTCATAAAGACATCTGTTTTTCAGAAGAGGCTAATAATTTTGGTTACCCAACTCCAGCTGGACAGTAGGGTACTACAAAACACCCAAGTACAGTCTCTGGCAAGTGACTGTGTTCCTAGGCAGGTGGAAAGTGTGAGTGCACGTCTGAGAGAGGTGTGTGCACGTACATGCACACACTTGTCTTTCATATGTATACTTATTTCAGTTCTACATGATGGTAACCTGCAACCCCTCTGTGGTTAGTAAATGGTATGTAACTACTGGTTTTTTCACTCTCAGTTGTTGATCTAACCTGTATGGGGCAAGATCAGAGCACTTAAGAAGTGTTTTGATACCTTAATCTACACTAAGATTCTGAAAGCTGTACCTTAGCTGACACCTAAGCCTGTGTTTCCCTCTTCTAGTTTTTATATGTATGCATTTATAAATACATACATGTGTATATACACATAAAATGTGTATATAAATGTGTATCTGTATACACACACAAAAATACATAGAATCATAGAATCACAGGCTGGTTTGGGCTGGAAGGGACCTTAAAGCTCATCTAGTTCCAATCCCCCGCCATGGACAGGGACACCTTCTGCTAGAGCAGGTTGCTCCAAGCCCCTGTGTCCAACCTGGCCTTGAACACTGCCAGGGATGGGGCATATATATCTAATTTCACACTTCTTTGCGTGGTAACTCCTGGTTGTCTGGCTCTTTCACTGTGCATGGTGCTGAGCCACTGGAGTTTAAGCTTGTGCTAATGCCTGGCTGAACTCAAGTGTCTCTCTAAGGACTCTGGGCATTGTCAGATAACAAGCAATACATGTACTAGGGCTGGTTTCCCATACCCTCCCCCTCGCAGGAAAATACATCCCTGTTAAAGATATTTTTGTGAACAAAAAGGTTCTGTTTTTAATTTAATAATCTTTTAGATGAACATTTCATAGAATCATAGACTCATTTACCCAGAAAGAAGAAGATTCAGATTGATTTCCTCAAGCTGATGAGGTTCAAAGTGCTATTTCTTCCTTTGGAGGTGCTTATTTGCATTTGCTTGCAGAATGTTTTATGGATGCCTCTGTGAGCTCCTGTCAGTAACTTCCATTGGAAATGGCAGGCTGTGTGGGCTCAAGGGAGCAGCTCCAATGTCATTGCCCTGTATTGCCTCACGTCACTGTTAGAAATGCTTTTTCAACAAAGATCTGCAGTCTGGTGTTTGGCCTTATGGTCTGTCTAATGAAAAGGATAGCCTGTAAATTGTATTTAGTGGAGTTCTGTTGGAAATACTAGATGGAAAGCAAGAAGAAAATGATTGATAAGGGGGCCTGGGAGTGCAAACTCAGTTCGCTACTAAGCCCATAAAGTGGAAAAATAAACAGTTTTAAGGAAACCGACAGTTCTTACATGTTTACCTTCTGTTCCACATTGGTGCTTTTCATTTGAATTCATCCCATGTAATTAAAGCAGAAGAGGCTTTCCATCTCTTTAAGTTATCAGAAAAATGTCATTTGAAGTTATAGTTTAACCACTATAAACTTACTGCAAAGTTTAAATCTCTTCTAGAGCTCTCGTGTCAGGGTTGTTTTACGCCGTGCCATGGAAAGACTAATAACTCTGACTAATGTGAGTGGGAGGAGGTTTTGCCAGATGGCCTAATACCTCATCCAAGTACACCTGAGCACAAGGGAAAATAGGTTGTGATACGTGTTTGTTTGGTATCAGTTCTGTAAGTTCTGATTCTTATTTCAGTTGCACTCTTTAAAAAGAATGGAACATGTTCACAGAAATAAACGTTGTTGTATTTAGAGACAAATGTGAATTTGGGAACTGACACTTGATACTTAAATAGCAAAAGATTTCCAGGACTTTGCTGCTTGAGTATCCAGGAATTAACTCTTCCTTTGCCAGCTTCTCAAGCCATATTTTGGGTAAGTTCTCCATTTCAGTTGGTGATTCCCCTCAAAGCACCATTGTTCCTTTGACACAGGCTGTTTGTTCTCAACTGATAAGCCCTTGTCATCTGGGAAGCCATCCCTGTGTCTAATCTAACAAAAGGGAATAGCTGTGCTCCTTTCTTCCATATGTTTCCCATTACCACGTACTGTGTGATGAAGTGCACGTGCTCTTTGTGCTGTCCGATACGTGTTAGCCCTTCAGGGTTCCTACCAGTGAGTGAATTGCTTTGTGTTTTATGCAACTGAACAGCTAGAATTAGACTTCAGGGGTATGTTGAGCCTACATTTAAAAGAAAATTACAATTCCTACATTTGTCTCTCAGTGATCTCTCAATGATTTACATCAAAACCCTTTTACAAAGGCAAAATACTGGGTTGTTGGGGTCTTTTTCAACTGGAATGTAGCTTAACTTCTAAGCACGGAGTGGCTAAGAAGCACGGTGTGTTGCTTTCTGTCCTGCTCTTTCTTAAAGCAGGCATGCATATGCTTGTCAGAAATTGGTTGCTATCTCTGGAGCCTGGAAATCTCCACCTGCAAAATGTGGATAGCAGCCTGTAGCTTTCCTGCATCATGTGCCTCAGGACTACAAGAAGACGTCAAGTGGGGAGACGAATCTTTGTTGACTTCTTGTCTCTGAATTGACCTGAGACCTCACTCTTGTTTTATATTGCTGGATCTATTGCTTTATAAACACATTTGATTCCTGTCCTTTGCGTTGTGTTTCAGTCCTGAGACTGAAAGGCAACTCATCCACCTCTTGAATAATGTAATTCACGTGGAACCTGGTTGCTTTGCTTTGCAGATGTGACGCAGCAAAACAATAGATAATCGTGGCTGAAATCGTAGTAACTTAAGGTTCATTTTGGGTGGAAAGTGCTGGGTTTTTAGGAAAAACTGAATATAGACAATTTGAATTTGTTTGGCATTATGTTAATCCTCTAAACACGTCTCTTCCTTTAGGGGTACCTCTGTTTGCCCTACATGGCACTGCAGCAGCATCACCTCCTGTCGGATGTAACCGTGCGCGGCTTTGTGGCGGGGGGCACCAACAACCCTTTTCGTCAGGCAGA